ACGAACATTCGGGTAATGCGTACTCTCGAAACCAGCGGGGATTCATGTACGTGTACGTCCTTCTTTCGCTCCTGACAAGAGGCCTCCAAGAGAGCCCCAAGACGGTCCAAGAGGGCCCCGAGACGGCCCAAGGGGCGCCCAAGACGGCTCTAAGAGGCGCCCAAAAGACGGCCCCAAGAGGTGGCTCGGCCGGGGGACCCGAACTGACATGTCGAGCCCTCGGACCCGACGGGTCCCAGGAGGGCCCAAGAGGCCCCCAAGAGGCCCATACGAGGCCCCAAGGGGCCCCTGAAGAGGCCCCAGAGAAACCCTCAAGTGGCCCCAGTACTGCTCCCCGAAGGCATCCGAGATCGCTCCGAAGAGACCCCGAGAAACATCCCTGAGAACTCTCACCCCAGGCACGGTGGTGCCGGGCGTGCTAAATCCTATCGCTCTTGATTTTGGTTCTTTTCCCAAAAGAGCTCTCCCCTGGGGCTTCGGCCGTGGTGCCCCTCTCATCGGCTGTTTCGAATTAGGATGACTCAAGATGGCCTCCACGATGGCCAAGATGGTCAACGATGGCCTCTAAGATGCCTCCCAGACGGCCTCAAGATGGTCCAAGGCAGCTTCCTAGACGGCCCAAGATGCCTACAAGTCGGCCCAAGAAACCTCCAAGACGGCCCAAGAGCCCCCCAAGAGGCCTCCAAGGCGGCCCAAGAGGTCTCCAAAAAGGCCACTTGATTTTCCTTGGTTTTTGACAGATTTTGGCATTTGCTTCTTTTCGGCCTTCCGACGGCCCGACACAGTCCACGAGCCCCGAAAGATCGCCCGAGACGCCTCCAGGACGGCCCCAGATCGGCGCAAGAGGCCCCCAAGACGGCCCAAACAGGGCCCCCAGACGGCCCAAGAGGCCTCCAAGACGCCCAAGACGGCCTCCAAGACGGCCCTGGAGCACCCCAAGAGGTTTTCAAGTCGACCCAGAGAGGTCCCCAAGACGGCTTCTGACGGCGTCGAACGGGCAAGGGATGTCCTGAGACGGCCAAGGAAGCCCCCGAGAAGCCCCTAGAGGCCCATAAGAGGCCCAAGGAGGCCCCCAAAATGCATCCAAAAGGCTCCAAGAAAGGCCCCCAGAGGCTCCCAAGATGCCCCGTCCTCCTTTTCCTCTTCCTCCTCCTCCTTTCCCTCTTTTCCTCCTCCTCCTCTTCTCCTCCTTCAACTGCTGCTGCTGCTGCTGCTGCTGCTGCTGCTGCTGCTGCTGCTGCTGCTGCTGTTCCTCCCCCTCCTCCTCCTCCTCCTCCTCCTCCTCCTCCTCCTCCTCCTCCTCCTGAGCTTCCCACCCTTCCTCCCCCAAATGTTCCGCGAAAAGGTTTCCACACCGGTTGAGGAAGACATTGCCCGATAGCTTGCCGAGCTCTTGCCACAATGAATGGTCGGGCACATGGGCAATTTCAAACCTCTTGCTCCCCCACGTGCTCCTCAAAGGCGTTCCAAACCGACTCGGGGAACAACTTGCCCGACAGTTTGGCCAAGCTCTAGAACAGCTGTCGGCCACATAGGCGCTTCCACAAGGGCAGGGGGCGGCGGTGATTCGCCGTAGGCGATTTCGATGCGAATTTTTAACACGAGGTGTGCCAGGATGTTTCATTTTATGCGCGCGCGCTTCCTCATCGCCCAAATAAACACAATTTGCATACGGATCGTCAACTTCGTCCTTGCCATCGTCAACGTCATCGTCATCATTCTCACCATCGTCGGGATCATTACCGTCCCCGCCTCGACGATGTCGTCGCCCTCGTGCAATTTTTGCGCGCGGGCACGTCCTCATCGCAAACATGAGCACCATATTTATCACCATCGCCGGCGTCATCGTTGCCAAGTCCAGCATCATCCGCATCCGCTTCATCATCATCGTCGTCGCCGATATCGCATCGTCCCGGTCTGCACTGTCATCGCCATCGGCGTCAGCGTCACTGCCACTGTCAACGCGATCGTCGTTGGCGTCGTAATCCTCACCATTGCCACCACCACTTCGCGATCTGCAGGGTGGACATGTCGACCCCGCTCGTACAAATCATGGTCGTATGAGATTTGCCGACGAGGGGCGGGGAAGAGGGTGGGATGTTTGCACGAGCTGTGGACCTCATGATTTCAATACTTGTTCACGAATGCTCGCGCTGTTGGAATTTACAGAACATGTGGCACCACATCGCTTGCACCACGTAGCTTGCACCACACTTCACAGCTGCCACCACACAACTGCATCACATGAGTGGTGCTGCGCCGCCTACGCCACGCAGCTAATACCTCGCGTCCTTCACCTCACATCTGCGCCACCATGAAATACACGCCCCGCGCAGCCGACACCACGTAGCTGATACCCCTGAGCTTGCACAACATGGCCACACCTCCACACTGCAACGGCTTACTGCTTGGAGCCTACGCTGGCAAACGTTAGTCAACCAGCGGCCGCCAGAGGGACAGTCGCCCGTCGAGCAGCGGCAAGGCGCGACGGGGCACAGCGAGGCAAAAGGTACACGGAACGCGCCGAGGCGCGAGGCGGCCGGGGAGGCCAGGGGGCGAGGGAACCACTCTCAGGCCATGAGCGTCTGCGTCTGCGCGCCGAAGTGCGAGTCCTTGAAGCGCAGGGCGAGCGTGGGGGCGGAACCACACTGGCGACCGCGCTCATACACGCTGTCTTCTTCGACCAATTCCGTCTTGGGCACCGTCCTGGCCCGCTCTTCGTTGAGCAGGGACCGACCGTCCCGGCATTCCTATAGTCCTACCACGAATTGTGCTTAGAACCCCCAGTTGTTCTGATAACAAAAACCATGTTCTTATAACATTAACCCGATATGTTAAACCAGCCATAAATGTTCTAATAACATTTCGTGGAAACGACAAAAGGTTCTTAGAACATTGTTTGGTAGGGCTATAGGCGAGCCAGGACGCTTCGCCACTGCTTGACTTCGAGGCGGGTCCGGCCGCGGCGGCGGAGAAGCCTCCCGGATGCCCACCGAGGGCGAGACACGTCGAGGAGGGCCGCCGCTGCCTCGACTGGCCCTCCTCCGACCGTGCTCGGGCGATCCGCCAGCGTGCCGAGTGCACGCTGGGGCGCGGAGGAGTGCCAAGCGAACGACGAGAAGAGGGGGGTCGTACGCGAGGCGGCATGGCGATCTTGCGCCGCAGCTTGCGCGCCGGTGTCGGCGCAGACGGCACCCTTTTGTGGCGTCGCTCAGGTGCTGCCCATGAGGGTTTCTGCAGTCATCTAAAAGACCCCACCTCTCGCCGCACCCCCTCGCGTGCACCGCCCCCATTCCTGGGGCTCCCCGGGCGGCCAAAAGACGCCTCCCTGGCCCTGTCCAATGCGCTCCAAAAGCCCAAGATGGCCTCCAAGACGTACCCGGCAGGCCACCAAGGCCGCCCAGATGGTCCAAGAGGCCTCCAGGACGGCCTCAGATGGCCCAAGACGGCCTCGAGACGGCCAAAGAGGCCTCCGAGACAACCCAAGAGGGCTCCAATAGAGCCTCCAGCGAAGCCCGAAGAGGCCAAAATAGGTTTGTCATTTCGAGCTTCCGACGGCTCGAGACAGCCCAAGAAGCTTCCAAAATGGCCTCAAGTCGGTCCAGGCCGGCACCAAGATGGCCCCAAGACGGCCCAAGAGGGTGCCAAGATGTTCCGAGAGTCGCCCAAGAGGACCCTAAGTCGGCCCAAGAAGGCGCTCAGACGGCCTTCAAGGCCCCCCAGGCCCGAAAAGTCACACGTGACGGCCTCCCGTGCCCCCTCGAATAGTCGCCACCCAACATTCTGGATTGGCACGGTGGTGTGACTTGCCGCAGGCAGCTGGATAACTCGGGCCCCAAGTGGCCGTTTGGAACGATTCCGGGGGCGCAGCTGATTTGAACCACTCCAGGTCCCGCAAATCTCCGAACGCCTGCGAAAAACGCAAGAACAACACCCAAAACTATCGAAACCGTAGAACGCGTGTAAAAAGCGGCAGAAAGCACGAGAGCCCCGCTCACTCGACGCAAATTACCGAAAACATAGCAAACCCACTGAACTACTCCAGAACACGTATGAACATTGGAGACCTGGTATCGGGTCGGGCGAAAGGGGGGGATAGCAAAGGGGGGGTTTGAGAATCAGCTCACGTAGCTGATTTTCCCGGCGCCTCCCAGCGCCGGAGGCGGCCATGTATCGAGGAATGGGCCCCTCGGTGGGGCCGAAACCAGCTGCATGCAGCAGATTTCGTACCCCCCCCTTCCCAATCCCCCCCTTTCGTCCGGCCCGATGGGAAGACCTCCAAGAAAACCGAAGGGGAAACCGACGAAAGCATCTCGGGGACGACGCACTGGCACGGGTCAGCCCAAAACCCAGGTAGGCCAGGGCCCAGTCGCGAAGCCCAGAAGGCCGCAGATCTAGCTTTAGGCCGTGCATGCCCCCCTTACAAGCGGATTTTGGACGAAAAATAAAAAGATACCCCAAACACATCCCAAACTACTCCAAACATAATAGAGCAATCAGCCCCGTACTGTTTTCAAAACTATGTTTGAACATCCCTCCTGTAGAGGGACACGCCCGACTTCAATTTAGTAGCGCCCGAACCTGGGCCCGCGGATGGCGGAGAGGGGGAATCGGTCCCACGTGGCTCCCACACCCTGGCCAGCCAGAGGGTGGTGGCTGACCCCCGTCAACGCTCAAGCCCCATTGCGTGAGCCCAGAGGCCTCCTGGATGGGGTGCGAATCGATCGCCGATGCATCGCCGATGCATCGCCGATGCATCGGGGACGCCGGCGATGCATCGGCCAAGTCGGCGAAGAGAAAGTGGAGAGGACACGCGCAAGGACACAAGACCCTTCCGAGGGCCACACTGCCCAAGGAATGTAGAAGGCATGGGCCGCGAAACACAGGACACGAGGGTACGCTTGATTCGGCAAGGTCGACCTCCTGACCCAAACCCTCGCTGCTCAGCCTGGAACTGCGTGGGCGCCGAACGTCCCCCCGCGCCCCGCCGCCCGAAGCTC